CTCTTACTCTGCTCCTCTCCTTTCCCTTTCTTTCTTTCACTCTCCTCCAATCCTAGTCACCATCCCATACCAAAAGGCACACCTGAGACCGCCACAAACTCATACTTGAAGGCCGTTAGAATCAAGGTTACTTGGATCGTGGGTCAATTTGGAGCGTGGTACAACTATCCTTTGATATGTTGGGCAATGGAAGTAGTTTTAGTTGGTACGCTATTATGGGTTGCAGTTTGTTATTAGACTATTATTTGGATCGTTTTCACTATTATAAGAAATTGTATATAATTATGAATTTATAAACACATGATCTGTAGTATTTGATTTTTATCTGTGATATTTTTTACTTATTTAATTTGTATCTGTGATATTTTTTATTACTATTTTAGTTAATATGAATACACATTGTAGTTAATTAATTTATTTTCTATTTTAGTATAGAATTGGTTCATAGGATGCGTTCGTCATCGATAATTGACTCTTTTTTCTAGCCACATTACTTGCAAAATTGATATAATAAGAGGATATTTTTTACTTTTAATTGGTAAACTTTTTGTGGTTGATAAGGATTACTACTTCATGTGTTTGTCAACTTATCTTTTTCTGTTTTTTGATCCGAGATAATCAACTTATCTCACTCTTCCAAAGCAATGAAAGAGCGATGGGCGCCCCTCTCTCTTTCTCTGTCTCTCTATCCCCCATATGAGTTTGATGATTCAAATTGAAGAGAGAAACACTAGTTCGATGCACCCTCTTGATTGATTTTGTATGTCCTTTCAGCTTGTTTTGATGATTTCGGGTATTACAGAAATTAGATAGTTTATTTTTTGGTTTCTCCTCCTTCCCCCTTCATTAAGTTATTCTGTGCGATTTTCTGCTTTTTCATACTATTTGTGGTTAGGGTTGTGATTTAGGGGGTTAGGGTTCTAATTAAGGGTAGGGTCTTGATTTCTGGTCGTTCATTTTGGCAATCTGAGTCACAAACATACCCTGTTTGGGTTCGTGCGAGAGCAAATTCTTGCCACATCAGAACCCACACCCAAAGGCCGCCATCTACAATGCACACCGATCTCCAACCCGAGCTACTACAACCCTCTATTATCATCACCATTTGCCACCAACCCCATTTAATTTAGGCTTTTGGGGAAATTATTCAATTTTGGGTGTAGGGTTTAATTGAATATATATTTAATTTCGGGGTTTTGAAAAGTGTTAATTGACATTGAATTTAGATTTTATATTGTGGGGGGTTTGGGAAGAATATTGGATTTTTGTTTTGAAGTTTAATTGGATTTAAATTTAATTTATGCCTCAATTTTCTCTAATCTCAATTGGGTATGTACTAGTTTTAGAGCTTTTCATATATGTCATATTTGGTTTTATTTTATCTTTGTTTTTTTAATTTATGTGTTGCTTGTTATTGTACTCCGAGATCTAAATTGCTTTTGACTTTGGATTTTGTTGTTTATATCTATTAGTTGATGTACACGTTACATGAAATAATTTGTTGAAATTGTCTTATATATTTATAAATCAAAGCATATGGAGTAAAATTATTGTAAAACTCTCTTACTTGGGTATGAGGTATTTAATTATTATATTCACTTGAAGTACAACTTTATAAAATTGAATGGTTGGCATACTTTATGAATTTTTTTTACCCTAATTTGAATCACATAAATAATGAGAGTAATTTTTTTAAAAAAATCTTTATTGTTTGCAAGTTTGAATATTGATTTACAAAAAAAAAAAAAGATGCCCATAACACAATTTTAAATTGTGCTATGTAAAATGTAGGTTGTAGTTTTGGAATGAATTCATGTATATAAGAATTTAATTTCCTTTTCAGACTCTTAATTTTTATTTATTTTTTATATGACAGCCTCTAAAAGTTTTTTGCCACATTATCTTCTCATGAAACTCTAGCTTCCAAGGATTTTAAAACGTTTAATATGAAACTTTAGATTGGAATTCTTGTACTGAAAATGCATTACCAAATTTACAGCAGCTTGCATATTTGATTTCAGTGACAAAAGGCGATGGAGTTTGTACCCTTACCCATCTAAATTTATGGCATCATGTTGATATTTATTAACCACACACCCGAGAAGTTGGATCTCATCCACCACATATTGTGGTGAGACCTACAATTTATAAAGAAACTCCACACATAATGGGGATCTAAATCTGCTGATATTAAACAAATACATACGAACCGCCATGACACATAAGTGACAAAATAAAACCAATAACAAGGTATTGCCAAATTCGATCAAAAACTACAAAATACAAATTCACATTAGCTTACATCCACGTACAGGGAAAATTTTGAGAGAGAGAGAGAGAGAGCTTGCATTGGCAATGCGGAAGAAAATGACGAATACTAGATTGCCCTTATGATCAATGGTGGGAGAGGAGGAAACAGGTGTTGGAACTGAAGCCTTGGCTTTCTTTAATCAACAACAGGTGGTGCAGGATTTGGTGAACAGACTTTATGGTGAGTTATTGAATCAGTATCACAATTAGTTGATTAAAGACGAGGACGGTCATCACCAGCGGCAACCACCACCAGCGCCGACAGGTACCCTTTGCACACCCCTCTCTCTCTCTCTCTCTCTCTCGTTGAAAGCAACAGATACCGGTGAAAAAGTGAAGATCTTTAGATTCTTTGTTGTACTCTCTCGATTGGTGTAAAGGTCTTCAGATTCTTCCTTGTGCTACTCCCATTTTGGGTGATGTTTGCGTCTTTTTTTTTTCCAGTTTTTTCGGTGTATTTTTCAGTTATGTATATATTTGGGTTCTGCTCGTATTTTTTTTCCCGGTTAAAGGGTCTGTTTTGCTCACCATTTTAATCTGTTATGCTTGATTCATATGTAATAGTTATTTAATAACTCGGTTTATGAGTATGATCTTGGATCTACTTTGAGTTCCCTTGGTAATCTTGGTGACAATCGGAGATGGATACCAACTAGACCAAGTCTTATGTCCCAATCATTTGGGGTTGACTCTATGAGTCTGTCTTCATCGTTTATTTCGGTCATGTATTATATGCTCATTTAAATTAAATATTTTCATATATTTATTTCGTTTAATGTTAATTTAGGTCTACCCCTACTTCTAGTACCATTAAAAATTTTTTTATCATCTTTTCTAACTGGTGCCTTTATTGACCTTCGTTGAACGTGACCAAACTATTTTAATCTATTCTCTCTCAACTTATCATCAATTAAAGTTATTCTTACCATTTTTCTATTATGGTTATTTTGTATTCTATCTTTTCTAATTTTTCCACGTATTCACCTTAACATTGTCAGTTTCGTTATATTCATTTTGTGAAATATTTGTCCAATATTGCGTCCCATAAAATATTTTTGTCTTTATAGCTATTCGGTAAAATTTGTCTTTTAATTTTATTAGTATTTTTCTATCAAAATCAGAGTGGGTATTAAAGGATAACTTGGTTAATACTTTTGTTATAACTAGATGGTCTCATTTTGGTTATGATTCTATGATTTTATTTGAGAAGTATCAAATATTGATTTAGTTTATTTGTTGTTTGGATTCAAAGATTTTTGTGGTTGACTTATGGGTTGGATGACTTTGGTTGTTGCTCGGTGGAGTTTTATTCTTCATGGACTTATTGGCCTGTTTGATGAGCATTACTCTTGATGATAATTAGGAGTCGTTTAGTCCAATAAAAGGACTTGAGCTTAAGCTAATATCCAGACAAGACTTAAAAGTGGCCTTCAACGGGTTTGGTGCAATGACGTCAACGTGAATTCATATAGAGCTTCGGTCGACCTTTTGTTATTGATGACGTTGACGATTTCTCTTCAAAGAAATTTGGGTTTGCTATATTTTGGATCTTCTTCGCGTGAAGGAGTTTGGGAACACTATTTATTTTGTAAGTGTTAAGGGTGGTAACACATTCTCTTGTCTTTGTCTCTATCGAGAATGTTTTGTAATTATGTTTTGTAATTTTCAACCTTTGATAGTAAAATTTTATCATTTTGTATTATTTGTGAACATTGACTTGTTTATTAAATCAAACCTCATAATTTAATTTGTTATGTTTTTCTATTTCGTTCAGTTATTATTTTATTTATAGTCTCGTAACAGATTATCACATCCAGATCCCAAAACAAAAGTGTGGTCGACTACACATGGTAAGTGGTTCTTCCGTTTAAAAGGCATCAATATTTATTTCATGCCAAATCAAATTAGAAAATATAAGGCATCATATCGCTTGCAATAAAAGGCGAATTGTATTTTGTTTTAAAAAATTAAAGAATTTTATTTTATATTCTTGAAGATTATATTTTTCACATTGTACTCTTATTATAATAAAAGTATTGTAATGTGATTCTTCTATTAATTTTCGGTACTTATTCTGTCGATGTTAGAATGGGGTAAATTTTAACAGAATAATTAATTAAAAACAACAGAAAAATCACATTACAACACTTTTAATATATAAGAGAAAATCATATAAAAAAATTTGATATTTGAGGATGCAAAATGAAAAAATTTATCTTAATAGGTTGTAAAGTGAGACTTTCTCTTCTATATATAAAAAGAAGAAAAAATAAATTTTAACCACACTCTTAGTTTACTATATTTTTAAGGATACCTCCTAATTTAGGGAAGCAAAAAAGCCAAGTGACAGCCCATGTGTATGAGAGAGAGAGAGAGAGAGAGAGAATGGCTACTGAATTAAATCCAAGCCAGTTTGGACTGGATCCCGGGCAGCACTATCATGAAAAAACAATCCCATAGTAAAAGCACAAATTTGTATTTGTCATCAGTTTCAGGTATTTACTGAAATTGGGTGGTGAACGTCATCCCATCCAGTGAATGGGATGCATAACTTGTCTTGGTATTAACTCAATCTCAAAAAAGTGCAATACACATAAATATATCCTTTCTAACATGGTAACAAATCAGGTAAATGGCTATGCCCGAGGGTAGAGCACATAGGGGCACCTCCATTGCGTTCACCATCACATCTAATGCACTTGATTGTTCTGAGTTTTCTTCTGGAAAAGAAGTGAACCTATTAGAACAGCAATGCCTGTTATCGCAATGGTGAATAGAAGGCGCCTCGGTGAATAACCAGGTGGCTCCCGTCTTCGAGCACCATTCTCTCTTTCAGCTGCCACATCCCTTGAGAGATTCCAAATAAACAACCATGACAAAACAAGTGAAAAACGGAGCATTAAAAAATTTATGTCTTGACAAATAAACATTTTTATAAACATTTTACTGAAACAGGAGGCCAAAACTTTAAAACAGAAAGACTGAGGTTCAATAACCACATAAGCCAGGAGTTCTTGGGCGTCTGGTTTGTGGTATGGTACAAAAAAATACAAGATGAATCCTATCAAATGGATACAGTCAAGAGCATAATGTAAACAAAACTCTCGTGGTAGGTTAGCTGAATTGAAATCTGCACTACAATATTTCTATTAAGGAATGGATTCCAACAATAGGTCAGATTTGTGGAATTTTTCTAGTTTGATGATTTTATAAAGGCAGAGTATTAAAAATCATTTTATGGAGAACAGATAGAATAATAAAATTTCCAAAGCAACATAAGAGTCAACAACGGAAGTTTTTGGCAAAATCTATGTTAGAGCATCCATACTTTATTACGTTCATCCTACAAAATGCTCACTTATGGAAATCAGGTTCCTGAAAACAAAAGAAGCTAATGGTGATGTGGTCTCCAACTAAAATTGCAACATGTCAATGGCAATTGGGAGAAAAAACCAGATAAGCACGATTACTTTTTACTTCCCATGGCCATTATATGTGACAGGCATATTTCCCAGAGCAAGCAGGGGTGATTGCCAGAGAAACTTTGCCAATTCAACCCATAAGAAATTTCATCAGATATTTTCTTTCAAAAAAGAGTCGTAAAAGATGCAAAACTCAAAAAATAGTTCCTCCTACCTCGAAGATTCTTCATTATCAACTTGGACACCATTGCATCTGCTTTCATGGCCATTTCTTTCACGCAATCTAATATATCTTCTGCACAGATGACAATATTCTGTCCGGTTCCCACATACTTCCTGAAATTACCAATGTCAACCTATTACAGCCCCACATGGAAGCATATCTTCATTTTCAGATCCCTATAGTTACTACCTGATGCTCAAAAAGATCAATTGCAGGCAATGGGAACTCGCAGTACTCGCACGTCACAATTCTTTGGGGACAATTTTCACCATTATGAACAGCTAAAACATCACGTTCCATTGTCTCACTGCAGAGGGAACAAGATACCTGCTCCAAAGAAATGAATTGTGTATGACAGTAATGCATGACTTAACTGAAGAGAAACTTTAATCGGATGATTTAAACAACCAATCCTCCTCTCGGAACAAAAGCAAATGGTTCAAAGCAATGAAAGTAAAATCTTAATCTGCAACGCTTTGCGCCCAATAAATGATTAATCTTCCATTTTACTTACCAATATACAAATTAGGTGATCCTTGCTGTGGAAAAAATTTCTCAAAAGATGAAACCTTAATTTCTTTGCAATTAATTCAACCTGCAACTCTGAACCCCTAGAAGAAGCCACATTGAAAGTGTGTGAAATGTCCAACTTTAATCTCCCAATTTAGACCTATTAGTCTGTGCAATGTCAGTTACATAGCAATAACTAAACTGTTAGTAGCTAGGCTAAGACGCATACTGGATAAACTAGTAGGCCCAAACCAAAGCAATTTTATCTCAGGTAGGCAGACTATTGATAACATCATTATAAGGAAGGTACTTGATGAATTCTGTAGGATCTCTGGGCTCAAATTGAGTCTGACTAAGTCTAAAGTCTATGTATCCCTAAACGTTAGACGCAGCAGTGCATCTAAACTTAGCAGGATTCTTGGTTTTCCTTTAACAAGGGATCTGGATAAATATCTAGGCATACAGTCTTACGTAGAAGAGTATCCAAAGAACATTTCAAAGATATTGCAGAGAAAATTCAGGTAAGGTTGCCTGGATGGAAAGCTAATAATTTGTCCATGGCAGGAAAGGCAACACTGATTCAGGTTGTGACTGCCACTATCCCTAACTATGCAGTGCAAACTCAATGGGTCCTTCAGTCAATTTGTGACCAAATAGATAGGCTGAATAGGAATTTTCTGGGGTAAAATGGAAGCCAGTACAAAAATTTGGACTTAATTGAATTAAACTACAACTGAAAAAGTTAATTGAACAAAAGTGCATTTAAGAAAATGACCAAAAGGTCATTTGTTAAAGGAAATAAGATCAAACCTCATTCAAATGCCAAACGACAATCTTGGCTCCAATAAGGAATCAAGCGATAAAAAAGGAAGCATTAAACAGAGTGTCCCTTCATCTTCGGCATTTTGAAATTCAAATGGATTTATGAACAAATTCTAAAGATAATACCCGGAAATATTCGTTGAAGATCAAAAGGGATTTTTTTAAAAGAAAGGAGGAAGAACAGGAGGTCCTATTTTCTTCTAACTGTTCGGCATTTTGATTTGGTGCAACTATTCTCCATCACTAGAATCCTCTTCTCCAGACATTCAAGTTCGATTTCAAGGTTTCAACTCCGATTTTTAATGGCTAGTTTTCATTTTTTTTTTTTTTGCAATTTCTATTCGAAAGAGCCCAAACTAAAATTAAAAAAACACTAACAATTCTAAATAAAAATAACAAAGTTGAATTCTTTTATATTGAATGACTATATAAAAAATTTTAATTTTAAAAAACACAAATTTTAACAGTTACACTAACTTTTTGTTTGTTATAACAGTGTGAAATAACTCTATTTGATATTCAAGGCATTTGATTTGTATATTTGTTTTGAATAACTATTTGGTATTACAATCGACATTTGAATCGCCTAACGGTAGAAGTTTTTTTGGCTTTTTAGTTCTGTTTTTTTGTTTGATAAAATCCAAACCCATGTTTTGTGAAATGAAAATAATAAAATCTGAAATCTTTTATGATGAATGCATGTATGTGAAATAGAAAAATCTTAAAATTCGATTATTAAACAGTTACACATATATAACTATTTATTTGTAGATGGTTAACTGTTTCGTTACTGGTACAACTCTTTTGGTACATATTTGCTGTAACTCTTTGGTAACTTTATTTGTGTAGCTGTTTGCTTGTAAATGGCTAATTGTTTGATGTAACTCTTTGATAATTGTTTGGTATACTCTTTAGTAACTGATTGGTGTAACTGATTAATATAATTGTTTGTTGTAATATTGATATAAGTAGAAGGAGAATAAGAAGAATTAAAGTAATGGTTAGAGAAAATAGGAGAGAGAGAAAAATATGGGAGAGAGATGAAAAATCAAATCAAATCTTTACATATTTGAAAAGAAACTATATTATCAATGAGGGAGAAAATAGGGGAGAGATAGAGGGGGAGAGAGAGAATGAAATAATAAAAATTATGCATAATTTAAGAAAAGGTAAATAAGTAAAATAAATAAAATGTCATTTGAAATTTTGTACTTAATCACAAGATGTTCAATTAAAATTGAACTTAACGGGATAAACAACTTATCCATACACTTTCTCTCAAATAAGTGTAAAAAAATACACTCACAAAAAAAACTCAATTTCTGTTCGGGGACACAAAAGAAAAGAAGAAAATTCACTTGTTAAATTCGGATAAAGTGTGTACACCCAAAGCCATTGGGGGCCTAGGGTTAAGGAAAAGTAGAGATAATAATTATGCACTGCTCAGGAAATTAGGTTGAGAACTTAAATTAGATAATAAAAAATCCTTACTGGTTGAAGTCATGAAAAATAAATACATTACTATCACCTCTGAACCTTGAAAAAAAAAAGGCTAATGCATCCCCCATTTGGAATGGAATTTTGAAAGTTTGTACTCCTTTAGAAGCAGGTATAAAATGGATTGTGGGTGATGGTCAAAGCATTTACCTTCTGGAAAGATTGGTAGGTTGGAGACAAACCACTTCTGTACTTCATTGGACCAAACGGATCCTGGAACTTGAAAGCTATAGGTATGATTCTTCCTCCGGCTTTGTCCAAGAAATCTTATTCACTCCACTACCACAATTCAGTCAGCATGTAGATTCTACTTCTTGGGAAAAGGCAGCAAATGGTAAGTTCTCATCAAAAGGCTTTTATAATTTCCTTACTGATAATTCCTCCTATACTGCTATTGATAAGAAATGGAAATTCCCCAAAAGTAAAAAATTTTTCTTTGGCTTGTCCTACATGATAGAATCTCTTCCAACAAACTTAAAGCTGACAGATGTATGACAGATGATCCTACTTGCATTAGGTGTAAAAACCATGTTGAGTCAACCATTCATATATTAAGAGATTGTAGTAAAAGCTCAGAGAGCCTGGAGCTACTTTCTTACTCCACAGAAGAGACAGTCTGATAGAAACCTTAATCTCACCCAATGATTTGAAAATATTGCTTATTTGTTATTACAATCACTTGGAATAATATTAATTGGGCACACCTTTTGTGGCCATCATCTGGGGCATATGGAAAAATAGAAACAAGGAATGTTTCGATGGTGTTATAACCGAGTCTGCTGATACAGCAAAAACTTCCATCTCACTAGCCAAAGAGATCATTGAAGCTTTTGATAATAGGCATGCTGAGAAGTTGCATGCTGCAGGGAGACTGATTAAGTGGGTTTTTTCACTGCAAGTTACTATAAGATCAACACTAATGGAAGCTCCAAAGGCAACCCAGGACCAACTGGGATTGGTGGCATTCTTAGAGATGATAGAGGGAAATGGATCAAGGGCTTTTTTGGTAGAATTAATCACACCATGAGTCTTAAAACTGAACTCTGGGCCATCCAACAAGGTCTACAACTGATTCTCAATAGGAGTGGGAACTTCACCTTAGAGACTAACTCCTCAGAAGCTTTCAATCTGCTGGCTGGAACCCAATCAGCTAGCCACCCTTTCAAAGTCCTCGTGGACAATTGGCAAGTTCATCATCACATTCGCTCAGAGAGGGAAATCAATGCACTGATGGCCTCGTAAACTTGGGCGTAAATCGGTCTGTTGATTTAGTTTTTCTTGATGAACCACCTTGATTGTATTGTACATTTCCTTAGGCCAGACATGTCTAGTATTATTTATTAGGGAACCCATATAATTGTTACTGAGGTTCTCTCCATAGCACCGAAAAAAAAAAAAAAAGTTTGTGTAATAGCTTCCTTCTTTTTTTGGAAAAGATAAAACAAGGAGTTGCTTGGTGGTGCTAATGTAAAGTGCTCTATTTTCAAGGAGAAGGTGCCCTTCAAGGTGGTTTTGATGGCAAATAATCTGGTTAAGGTATTTCTGGAGCTGCATGTGCAAACAAGGAGACAGTTAATCATCCATTGATGCACTCTTGTAGCGGCCATTTTCAGGAAGAGCAAGGTACCAAGAACAGAGGTGGATCCTGCAGGCAATCATGGTAAAGGGGAAGAGGTGAACAGTGGTAGGCAAGTTCTATGGATGGCTGCTCCTCCACGCCTTTGAAGAAGAAGACAGTTTACAGGAGAAAAAATCTGTAGTATAATCAGAGATAAATTTAATGATTCTTTAGTATTTATCACCCCACCCCAAAACCCAAAAAAAAAAGAAGTTGAAGATCCTTTCATTAGATTCAAAGAGAATGTGCAGGTTTCGTACACGGGTTTTGCCCCCTCAATGCGTTTTAGTGGATTCCAGCTTATCTATCAACAAAAGATTAATTGATCATCCTTTTCTTCAGCTATTTACCCCTAAAAAAGCGTTTTTCTTGAGCTAAGAGGAAAAAGATAAGAAACCAACCTCCTCCCTTGAAAACCTTAGCACTGAAAAATTAAGAAAATATATATGACAATACGGGCCTACAAGCACTGTAATAGTCTATACTTTATGTATGATTTGGAGAACATCAAATAACCCCGCACCCCGCACCCCCCTTTCCTCGGCCGGGAAAAAGAAAAGAAAGAAAACCTCAGGGGAAAAACTTTTGATAGAAAAGTTTGCATATTTCCTATCTCCACATGGGTTGCCAAACTGATGGAGAAGCCACTAGTGAAGGAAGTGAAGCTTATTATGCCTAGCCTGGATGAGCCAATGTGATGTATCCCAACGAAGTGCTTCTCTTTTGTCATGTCCTTGTGTTGTCTGTGCCTACTTTATCCAGATATGGAACGTGAGCAAAGGAAGTGCCCTGTTTCCCATGTTTATGTCCACGCTGAACAGGTAGCATGCAATTACATTGCCTCAACACAAGGGATAGGCCCATTCAGCTAAGAAATGACCCTATAGGCCATAAAACATATATATTTGAGGCTGTCCATTAAGAGACTTGCACATATTGTATTATGAGAAAGCCGAAAAAAGTAACCATGTATTGAGTTTAGTGTTGATTGATAGTCCTAATAACATCAAAAGCCCATGGGATAACTTGATAGTGTGGACTGATGATTGGATTGAATGGTGGTTGAGGCAGCTGCCCACCTCACCTGACAAGCCAAGCTTGCCCCATTAACTAACTTGAGAACATGACTCCACTGTCACTCAGCAACTCTGACCTCAAGTGTGATCACCTAAATACTCTTGAAGGGGGCACTGCATATGCAGACAGACACAATGTTAGCCATTTTGCACAGGTTCTTAGATGTGCAAATCAGTTACATAATTCCCTCCGATTCTGGGCCCACTCTTAGAATGAGTACATGGAAAAGAACTTCACCACTTCTCCTCAAATTCTCCACTCTATTTCAGTACTAGGCTTTGGTGGTCCAATTAGGTTGTCTTAACATGTTCATCATACACCTTCAAAGCAAAGTAACCCAATGAACAACTATAAGTTGCATCAAAGAAGATGTGGCACCCCATGATATCTAGACCAAAATGAATCCATGCTAATATATAGAGGTGGAAGTAATAAGAGTGCCAAAGATATTGAATGCAAATTATGCATGACATAATCAAACTCAATGGGAAACAACATCAATGCTGCCATTGACATATTTCTAGAAGATTTTCCTGCCAATGTTAGTCCAAAGACTCCTAATAATTCTTTTTAGTTCTTAAAGACTCCTAATGATTCTTTTTGGTTCTTAAAGACTCTACCAATTCATCTAACAACTACAACAAAACCCCAATGAGAAAAAACAAGGTATACAAATATATTAGGTAAGCATTTTCTAAAGCAAGATCTCACATACCGGAGCATGAGTCCCTAAGAAATGTTCCTCGGCATATTTTTTAGGAACCATATCACCACATACTTTACATTTTTCTAGATTCCGGGAGCAGTGAGCATAATGCAAATCAATATTTGAGGAAGGAATAGCTCTGTCACTGTGAAAACAAGGATTGCCATCACTCAGCAGGAAATTTTTAGGTAAAACCAATAGAAAATAATAATAGATCAGGAAAATGCAGTCACAGGCCATCAACCATTTAACAATAAGCAAAATAGTACATGATAACCAACTGCAAATAAACAATATAGTCAAAGTCCAAGTAACATGGAAAAGTAACGGCATGCATTACATATACATTCCTTTATACCCAGTTTGGTCCCCAACAATCAAAGGTGCTAAAAGAGGGATTGGATGCAAACCTATTTATTGTTTTTGTATATATAGCTTGAACTTGTGTGATAACCCTTCAATTCCGTTTTCTTGATGTTATACAAACTGATAGTTCTACTCTCGAGTCTTTCATATAGTGATCCTTCTAGTGTTTTGACATTATGTCCTGTACTTTGGTACAAATTTTTGCACAACAAACAATTTTTACTATAGTGTATGCCTGTGTAAAAGAATAAGCTGCATCACTGCTATACACCATGAATTGACAAGATTATCAACCGTATAACTCAAAATAATAGTATAGCAATTAATAATAATACTTAAGTATTATTCAAGACAAACATGGCAAGAACTGGTGAATCAAAAAGCTACACCATAGGACCTGGTTCAAAGCTTCCACCATTGGGCTACACTGTTTATATGTACATAAGCAAGCAAGATGGTATTGGTCACAGCATGTCGAGAGCAGCTCTCAGAGGAGGCATGCCTTTCATGCCACATTCAATACAATTTTGTCAATTAACCAGGATAACACAAAACAAAGACACTGTCCTGACGAATGGAAATATGAATGATATAAAATGCTGTGAAAGAGATTGAAACATGAACTTAATTAAAAGTTTGATCCACATATGCAACTTTTT